TCACTCTTACTCTCACTCTCACACCCACACTCACTCACTCTCCCACTCTCACTTTCACTCACTCTCCGACTCTCACTCTCACTCACACTCACTCACACTCACTCTCAGTCTCACTCTCACCCACCCACCTTCAGTCTCACTCACACTCGCTCTCACTCTCACTCTCACCCAAACTCACTCTCACGCACATTCACTCTCACTCACACTCGCACTCACTCAGTCTCCCACTCTCACTCACACTTACACTCCTCACACTCTCACTCTCACGCATGCTTACTCTCACCCACACTCACTCTCACTCACACTCGCACTCACCCACACTCACTCTCCCACTCTCACCACTCTCACTCTCACACTCACGCTCACTCTCCCACTCTCACTCTCACTCACTCTCCCGCTCTCACTCTCACTCACTCTCCCACTCTCATTCTCACTCACACTCATCCACACTCACTCACACCCACCTTCACTTCATCACCACCGTCACCTCTCTGGACCCCAATGCGTCTGGATCTCTAAGACTTTCTGCTTACGGACCTCACACACACTGTTTGGGGTCTCTTGCCGGGATAATTTGCCTGTACCATGACATGTTCACAATTCTTCGCGCATTCCCTACAGGTCAATGACCCGATTTTCCTGGACGTGGTCATTCAAAACAAACTACTGAATGAGGTAAAAGACCAGTGACCAGGTTTTACTGGATTGCTTCAATTCATACGACTGCCATGAAATCGATCATGTTCCTCATGTTCCATCGATCCATCGGTATATACTACGGGTCTTCACACATCCCATACGACCTGGTCGAGGTCCTGACAGCCGGTCCGACTCTTCGGCTCTCGGGTCCGCCCCGGTCAGGTTCGCTGTCTTGAGCCTTTGCTGGCTCCATGCGCAAGGCGGACGGACCGAGACCGTGGACCGAGACCACCGGGTCGGTGGAGGGGACGGGTCGGGTGGTGGTCGCCATTCTGCGATCCGTGTTGTTCCCGCGTTTTGGTTCGGTCTCGAAGTGGGTGCACCGAAGAAGTGGCGGTGCCCTTCGTTTCGGAACGGCCTACCTTCGTTTCGGTGGTTAGATGTGGTTGGGGTGGGTGCGTTTTCGGGTGTCCAACTACATAATCAACTACATTATGTGGATGTGATTGGAGCTCTAGCGGTGAAATGGTATTGCAACCTGTATGCCGGTGTTCTGAAAGCTAATTATGATGCTATGAAACATCTCTTTTTGGAGATCTTTTATGGAGAATGATCCGATTCAGAAAGATAATGTCCACCCTTGAAAAGAAACCATGAATGTTCTAGCTTACCATGCGTGATCTATATGTTTCAACCTATCATGAAAACCGATCGACGACGGTGGTACTTACTATAGCTAAGCGTACTGACAGCGCCCATGGTGGCCACGGGCCATCGCCGCGAGTCGCGTGACTCGTCGCAGCGCCAGGCTTGAACGTGCTCAACAACAGCGCCAGGCGCATCGGAGCGGTGAAAGCAGGCACTCTCCGGTTTGCTGATAAGTCCTGGAATTATCATGCCAAAAAAACATACCGGAATTGAATTCATTCCCATGGCGCTTTTGGAACGCCACGGATGTTCGTAAGACCATTCAAATCTTCAATAACCAAGAAGGGCTCACAGAGGGCGGGGTGTTATTCGGGAGTCTACGAAGCATTCTTTTCGCACTGGCATCAGGAGTTGGTTCGGATATGTTCGGATTGTTATGAAGGAATTGCTTCAGATGGTTCTGAAGGTCACGTGGTGTCGCCTTTTACACATCTCTGGTTGAAAAATCTGTCCTGTAGACTATCCCTAGGGCTCCAGTCGTACCTCCTCAGGTTCGGTATGACTGGACCCGGAGATGGCACCCACCTCAGTCCTACCTTCGAAACGAAGGTACGACTGGATCCCTACCCATAGACTCCATGTATGGAATATATGCCCACTGACCCCCCAAACCACTCCAATGTAGGCTTTTGTGGCATACATGGAGTGTTTGGGCTAGGGTATATAGTGCGCTTCTTGTTTCGCGTTTTTCTGTCACGTTCTTCGGATCCAGGTCTTTGGATCCCCCAAGCCCTCCAAGCCCTGTGTAGCTCAAGACATGGGAGACGTTCGACACCCGTGAGCAACGCCCTGCAAGGTGAAGACGAACTAGGTCAGTCTACTCCATTGGGCCAGGGTGCGCACCCTCCAAGCCTAGTGTCTTCAATCACCCTCTCAATCCGGTTGTCGATTTAGTCGAATGCCAAGAGCGCCCTGTTCAGCCCTGGAACCTCGCAGCGAACGGATGGTTCAGCGAAGAAGGAGGTTGTGAGGGTCGGTGGCTTGCGAGTCGCACCGAGAGCCTTAGCCTTTTGAGAAAAGGAGGAGCCTTTGGAGGTCTGCCCCGGCATGCTGCGGAACCCGCCGCTCATCCCACCGTCCTTGGTGCATCAGCCGCTGCAGAACCCGAACGGCCAGGAATGACACTGCCACGGAGAATTTTACGCCTGGCTGCCCAGGAAGGTCGTGGATCGCTGAAACTGGTGGCAACTTCGTTGATCTACCTGGAATGGACCAAGGCTCCAGGTATTGACACATCCCCATGTTTGGGTTGGCCAAAAGGGGCAGGAGTTCTGACTGGGGTGTGTGATGATGTCCTTCTACTGGGCTGTTTGCGCACTATCGACGCCTCAGCCAAGGGGTGCTGACCTTCACTATAGGGTCAAAGGACTAGTTCTGTTGGTGCAAGAAACAAGTGAATCTCCAGCATTGTCTGGTGGTCCAGGAGAAGGCTGCCATGATCATCATAAGTTCAAGCAAAGGTCCCATGGAGCAAAACCATCCAGCTGGTCAACATGCCCCTGGGTTGTACTGTTCAGTGATGTAGAAGGGCGCATCGATTGATCTTCATGATAGTAGGGCAACAAAACCGGAGTTTACTCAGCGTATGTGGGGTTGGGCTACGAAACATGTACAGTTAATTGCTCGTATACACCACCTTTCATTCCTGCTTCCTGCTCGGAGCTTAGAGCCACCAAACTTATTTTGGTCTCCACTAGATCACTAGATCAAAGCGAAAGACTTTGAGTACCATCCTAGAGTCTTAGATGTCAAGCACTTGGCCACCCTCCCTGTACGGGGGAGCCCAACCTTTGACGCACTCTCTCACCAAAAAGAACGATTCCAGGTTGGCATCAATCATGAACCACATTTTGAAGGCCCTTTCACACCAAAGAAACCAGTGAAGGCCAGAATGCTTTACATACATCCACCCTGCGTCTCCTTTGCCTGCTTTCCACATACCGCGCCTTCCGCTTTCAGCTCTCTCGGTCGTCTACCGCGTCTACCGGACAGACCGGACGCAGCCAGGCTTCCCAGCGCGGAGGGCTTCCGGGACACGAAGGTCTGGGGACCACCCACCTGGCCCGGCCGCCCGTGGCGGTGGTGGGTCGCCGGCGGGTTCCGCGGGTGTCCGGAGCTCGGATGTTTTCTCTCGGATGGCCCGTGGCCCGCCTGGCCCACGCCCTCAGGTTGTATTCGACCCCCCAAATCCACCCACCCCAACCACCGAACTGAAACGGAGGTGGGCCAGGAGCCCTAGGGTCTGTGAGTGGCAAAGGTCGTGGAGCAAAATCGGTGTGTGGTAGGAAAAAAAGCGTAGAGATGGTGGTCGCTGTAGAAATTGCTGTAACATGCTGAAAACTCGACACATCAAAGTAGATTGAAATTGTATATGTTTTGAGATGACAAGCAAGTGGTTTGCATCCGAAAGACCAGGGAACCGTTGGGGATTCTTGGTAGATGTCAGGAATTGCCAACTGAGTAGTTTCGGACACAAACTTCTCTGAGGTGGATATTGTTCGCAGCTCTCACATGACTCCTCTGGGTTTCGTGTTGTACAGACAGCATGCTTGGAAACAGGTTTGGACAAGCAACCAGTACTGCAGACACTCTATATATGGAATGTTGCCCTCTGAAGGAATACCCCTGTTTGTATGTAAAACGTGCCAGTCCCATCCCTACGGCTCCAAGTAGCTCCTCAGGTTCGGTATGACTGGACCCTCCTGGCACCCGCCTCAAACACTTTCTTGGAAGATCTTGGAAGTACTTGGAGCCCTAGGGCACAAAGTCTTTTGGGGTATACAAACCCTTTGTGGAGTTGAAGTGCCGCAGTTGACGTTGGGTGCACCCCCAAGGCATGGTGAACCCGAGACCGAGCGAGGCAATCGGATCACCTGCAAACCTAAGGTTCTTCCTGCACTCCCTGACGTTGGCACTGCCAGAGGAGGTGCCTGCGCCATGCTGCGCCACTTAAGCCATTTTTGGAAGGACACCATCAAACTGATGTGAACAACCTAGAAAGAACACCGAGTATTAGCCCAGCTCCATGCGTTCATGGTGCCCACCCTCTGGGGCTCCGGCCACACGACTTGGTTGTGCCTGTTCAGCCGTTGAGGTGACCAAAGTTTGTGTATATGACCTAACCTGTAACCCCAGATGTGTTTCTGGAGCTTTAGGGCACGACAGGCTGGAAGGGCAAGTTATCTTTTGAATCAGAATGACTCCTAACATGCGCAGGTGCCGCGAGAGCAGCAAGCTCAGATCAAGAACTTGCTGGTGTCTTTGCGAGAGGCGAGGGTCGTTGGCGTCAGCGGGGTTGGTGAACGATCCAAACAATCCAACCAGTGACCCCTTTCGGGATGGGCGATTGAGGGGGTGATTTGGGAGGATGAAGTAGACAAGGTCGAGGTGGCCGTTCTCGGCTTCTGCGCAGTCGAGTCCAAAAGGGATGAAGTCGATTCAGTGGGGTGGGCATGTTGGTGGGAAGTAGACTTGGAGTCTCAGTTCATACCTCCGACAATGGGTACAAGTACCTGCTTTTTATGCGTCATGTCCCATTTTCTAAGGTACTTTGGAGGGTCCAGGTAGATTCAGTGGGCATGTCATATTCAGACGAAATTCAGTGGGGAAGTTCAGCTTCTGAACATGTTTGCCTCCACATTTTTGCCTCCTAAACGTTCCGTGGAGCAGGGAAATCGGTGAACGGTTGTTCGAACGCCGCCGGAAGGCCAAAAACCAACAAAACTCCTTGACAAAAATCAATCCATCCCAGTGGCCCAGTGAGGAGTGAATTCTCCGGCAGGTGTGGGAGTTTAAGGATCTAGGGATCATCAGTCACAAGGATGCCGGGATGCCGGTTCCGAACCGTTCGGAAGGAGGAGACGGATGCCCCCCTGTCACATCGCATACCACGGCCCCTGTCATGACGAGGCAAAAGCATCCAAAAGCCAAGCCCTGACTTGCGGTGACTTCTGGATCTCTTCAACTCCTTCTTTGTCTCGCCGCGTTTCACGGTCTTCCCGGGGAAACACCTCGTCGTCTGGCCACGCCGTCGAGCCTCCAACCCGCGCGGACGACGACGCGGTCAGGTCTTGCCCTGCGCCCAGTGTTCGGACCACTGGAGGGAGCAGATGGAAGAGGTGGGCTCAGAAAGGGGGGGCTTCATGGAGTGCTCAGATCGGATTTGGTATCTGGACTGACTGTCAAGGACGGAAGATCAAAAAATGTGCGTTTGGAGTTGAACCGGAAAAGACCGGGTCAAGCAGGTCAAGCAGGTCCTGTACCCATCTTCTGGAGCACGGCTTGAGACTGGCCCGAAGGATTCCTGACACCTGAGCTGATCCGACCGATCCATAGTTCAGCCAGGTCACATCCAGCAAATATCCAGCTCCACCACACTCCATCATCGCTTTTGGCGGCTGGCATGAGCCCTGAAGCATCCTGAAGCAATCCTGCAAACAGATGCTGGACCTGATCCATGCGCTTGAAACGATTTTCTGACCAGTATCAGGATCCAGGAAGAATTGGGTGGACACAGTGGAGTGGACACCCCTTCATCCCCTTCACGACGTCGGAGCTATGTAAACAATACCATACAAGACCCCTTGGGGGGTGTTCTTTGACGCAGTATACCACCGGCAGAGACCACGTCGTGGGTGCTCCACGAAGCCACGACTCCAAGAGAACCGCTCAGTGGCTGGGCTCAGCTCGGTTGGGAGGTCAAATCCGGTCGATGAAACAACGCGAGCTCGATGAATTTAAAGGGAAGTTGACCCATACCATAGAGCGCATAGAGGCTCCTTAGGGTGCACCCCCCAAAAAAAAACCACCTCAGCAAGGACAGAGCGACGTAATTTCGTAATTTGCGCTGAAAAGGGGCGGTCGGCGTAGATGGCCAAAACCAAGATAGACTCGGCGTTTTTTGTTTTCTGAGGTTGTTGAAGGTAATGATTGGTTTGATAGATGCAGAACCAATCCGCGTTGTGGTGATTCATGATAACTCGGCCCGACAATAAGCTTGGGATCAAATGCCTGGTGACTCGGACATTCTTGAGTATGTTTTTCTTCAGTAGTTCCTATAACTCTTGCCAAGCATTTTTTTGGCTTAGGATGGCTTAGGGATTGATTGTACAAACTCAAATCCAGCCATGGATCCGACCAGGGAAACCGTGGATTAAGTGATAGAAATAGAGCAGGCCTGGGAGAAATGCCAAATGGTTTCTGTGGCCCGACGCACCCTTCTTTCCTGATTTCCTATATTGCAGTGGCACAAAGTACTCGGTGAATGGATAGATTTAATACAGTGCTATCACCAAGGTGAAACTTAGAGGACGCTGCATGGACCACGCATAGTTCAACTAGGCACTCACCATGAACCAACTAGGCACCCTTGCGTGGCAACATGTGGCAACTTGTTCACACGTGTTGTCACTTGCCCGATCCTTCGGCGCAGTTTGTAACCATTCGGCTTACCCAGACCATATCACCCCCTGGGATCACCCCGTGGGCAAATAGGGTCCAATGGTCTGGTCTGGGTTAGTTGGGATCCTAAATGAAACATTTTGGATGGTGTAGAGTTGGGATAGGCTTCGCTCATTTGAAGCCGCCGTTGGAACAGGGACCTGTCAGACCTGGAAGCAGCGGGATCAGTATCATCTTCGCACCTTCCCAGAAACGTTCGAACCGTCTGAATCAGTCCGAATCATTATTCAGGTTGGATGCACCAGATTGATTCGGAATCGGCATCGACAGATAAGCGTCATGTGGTTTGTCAACCACACTTCCGAAGTCGGAAGTCTTTCCCCAAAGGCAGTCTTGCGTAGCGTGCGTAGCTTCTTGTGACGTTCGTAGCGATGGCCTCCTACAGTACTAGCGATGGCCTCCACCTAGTGTAGTAGCTTCAGTCGGATCACCTCCAGGAGTTTCAAAAGGCAGAGAAAGCCTCTTGGATAGGACGGCCATGTTGGGCGATGCGCTGCCGCTACGGATTGCGGATCCGCCGAACCAAACGTCGAGCCAGGATCCGGTCGAGCCACATTTGGCTCACCGGGGTAGCATGGTGAAGTGGATGATCCGCATGCACAACAAGGCCGGGAAGAATCAGCAATCCCAATCCCAGAACACCCTACATCACGGGGCGCTAGTGGGTGGTAAGGGGTGTCCATCAGCCACACCCTTGGGCAGAAACACTCGCACCTCTGTTTGGATGTTCAGTGGGCTCCAATCAAGGAGTTTTCATGAGTGTTCCGTCATATTTTCAATTGGTGGTCTCCCTTTTCCAATACACACCCATTGGCCATACATTTTGTATTCTGAGACAGGTTCTCGCGGACGCCACGTTTGCCGATTTTGTGTTCCAACAATGATGGTCGAATCCTGTGCAGTAGTACCAAAGCCGAAATATGAAGCACTCTAATGGGACACAATAGGACGATGTACATCCATTTGACATTACAGGTCAGTTGCAATGGCCCCGTATTTGTCCATGGGCCCTGTGCAATGGCTTTTCGTGTCGAACAAGGTCCCACCCGACCTATCTGAATATGGTAAAACATCCCCAGAACGGCCCGGCTTGTGTAATTATTCAACAATCTACATTTACACTAAATAGTGGTCCCCAAATAGATGTGGCACGGTTTCCAATCAATACATTCTTAGTGGAGATCTACTGTCCTATCTATTTGGGGGTCTATATACACAGTTGGGAAGGTTCCCCTGATGTGTCCATTCCACGCGCCACGCAAAAAGGCCGCGGCCACGCCTCCGCGTTCCAACCCACGTGACGACGCCCCCTCACCGAAGCGGCAGCAGTCGCTTCGGTGAAGGTGAACCAGCGGAATGGCCTAAAGCTGCAGACGGAAGCCGAGGCGCAACTTGTTCGCTGTAGACGGGAGGCTGCAGAGGAGCATCGTCACCTGAACGGATTGAATTGATTGAAGTGAGCTGTATACCTACATTTTGGAGGAAAGTGGTTGAAGTTGGCCGAATCAAATTTCAACCACATATGAAGTATGACTCCTGTTATATGATGTGTTATATTTGCAGGATGGATGTTTCATCACCTTTCCTGCTTTTTGTGCAGAAACCCATTAAATTTGAGGAGTTTTGAAGCATACAGGACTGAACATCAGGTATTACAGTCTACCTGGTCCACCTGCAAGCTTAAAAGCAATATCGCACTGATCACACACTCAACACAAATGAAGTTTTGGATCATAAAACAACAACCGTTGAATGATAATTGATATCTTACATGTTTAATACTTTTCGTTCTCGGGGTCGCTGTTTGCTGCAGCGGCGAGGTGCTGGAGGAATATCAGTTGGCCTACGACAAGTTTGGCCGCTGGGGAGGGCCGGAGTCCTCAGGTTTCTACAGATTCTTTCCAATGTTGACTGTTCACTGGACAAAAACCCTCCAAGGAATCAAGGGATTTTAGGTTGGAGGCCATTGCTATTTGGTTGGAGACCATTGCTTCGAGGTCCAAAGGAATCTATCTCAAAAGTCGGGTGAAATCGGGATCCTCCCGTTTTCAAGACGCTTTACAGACCAGACAACCGATCCGCCCGCCCGGACCGAATTCGCCGTTCGCTCCACCGGGCTGCTCGTCCACATTCAGAATCATGAATTCAGCTCTGCAAATTTTCGACCGGTCCTTTTAAGCCTATATAGCAGCTATTGGAAAGACCCTCATGTTTGGACCCCCTGTCGTGAAGCACATGACAGAAGACGTGCTACACCCTTCGACTGAGACTGAAACTCCCTGACACTTCATGTATGGCATCCTACTACCTACATTGGGGTGGTTGAAAAGGGGTCACAGTAGGCATGTATACATATTCCATATATGTGGAGTGTTTGGGATTGACCTGTCTTGCTGGATAGCGCTGGATCCCCGGATCTCACATGTTCTTCGGTTCCATCCGACGGTGACAGACCTCCGCTGGCCGTCGCGCGCCGAGGTTCCAAGCAGTTTTGGGGCCGAAGATTGAGAAGTCCGGTCACCGAGACCAGCGACAGGGAGGAGGAACCCGGTCAGAGTTCATCCATCGGTTTGTTTTAACAGCTCCAGAGTTCCACCAGCTTAGCCATAGGGCTCCAAGCACATTTCTCAGGATGATATAATATATATATATATGACATGGGTGTGTCTTAAAACAGGGAGACCTCCTAGGCAACGACGTTTTGGAAGGTTCGGGAAATAGACCAATCTACCCAGGCGGGGCGATTGTGGCATTTTTGTTGGGCCAACACTCAACTCATCAGCTGTGTTTCTCATGGCTATCTCTACACTGACAGCTACTATAATTGGTCCATTCATTTTGATCCCGTAGATCAGTTGGACATGGTCTTTGACCCCCCAATATCGATCTTGGATCCACGCTCCGTTCAAACGCCAAAGAAGAACATAATTCAGTGCAGTTCTCACACGAATCAAGCTCACCAGAACTAATGGATGCAGTTCTCAGATTCCACATACAGTTCCTTGCTGCATGTTGACCAAGGAAACAAAAGCATCTATATAGCCTCTCTCCAGCAAATGCCTGAGAAGTCTTAAGCTCCTGTTATCAACTATCGGGAGGTATCTTTTTTTAGGACGACCCCTTCCTTTTCAGACACTGAGGTCCTACAGCACCAGCAAGGTCCTCCCCTCCCCCTTCATTGCAGCTGTGCCATGGCTCAGTGGGGCGCAACATGAACTGCTCGGACGCACGCCGGTCGGACGGTCGATTCGGTGTGAGAAATGGCCTTTACATCCACCAGCCAACCACCCATCCTCCACACTGCACGCTCATTCATTTTACCGTCTACGCACCCGAGGTCTATTTTAAACCAGGGCAAACACCACCTGATCCCCCGACTTCGATCGGATCGTTGGGCCTTGTTTCGCTGCTGGAGCGGCGTTCGTGGTTCCGAAGGCGCGGATGGCACCTGGCACGGGGTGTTCGGAATTCGGCGGATCTGTTGTTACCATGAGTTGGTAGGGCATCATTGAAATAGAGAGATGGTGACAGGAGAGTGGCCATGATCGACCTGAGCTAGGTGATCGACCTGCTGAGCTAGGTGATCGACCTGTTGAGCTATAGGTGATTGGGTGGGTAGTTTGTTTGAACATGTGTTATTGTTTTTTGTACTCGGAATGTCGTGGTGTGGATCAGTCTTTGGCCCACCGGGAAGGTTTTGTGAAAAGATGGGCATCTTTATGCATTGTTAATCTTTGCTTGACATCTTGGTGTCCTAAATGCCTGGTTTGTTCTTGGACCGTAGGGAAACCTGGATTCTGGTCAAGACACGCTGCCAACGTGCTTTCCGACCGGCTGGTGGTGGCACGAGGCGCCTCATGCCCCAGTCGACTGAGGTACTTCTCTTCGCATGTCTAATGCCCCAAGGAGGCTGAGTACTTGGGCAGCGCAGCCAACCTCTCGGGCTGGCTGGTTAGGGCGAAGTTCGTATCTAACTATGCACCGGTCTCGTTGAGAAGGTCTTGGGATTGGTCGCTGGACAATCCCACGGAGTCTTCTTTCATCAGATTGGTTCAATGTTGAGAAAAGCTATGAAAAGCTCATCCCATGAAACTTGAGGGCGACATCAGAGAAGAAAGGTCCGGGAGTTTAGACAGAAACCACTGAGCCTCAGAGGGATCTCTTGGTTGATCCTCAGAACCCTAGTTTTTGCTGAGCATCACAGTACCTTCATGATGGGTGTGCCCCATTCACAGAGGATTCAACAGACACCGAGTGCCAAAAAATTGATGCCCATGGAATTGAAGCAATAGAACATGAATGTCATCGAACACCGCTGCATGGTTTGTGACCAACTCCGCTTGCTGCGATCGCTGGAGATCGTGGAGATCTGCTCAATGGCAGAGCCCGACCCTGCGGATTCGCGTGCATGCATCCCGCGAGCGCAGAACCAAAAAGGTTTGGGTCTGAACAGACACGAAAGGCACTCCTGGCAACTACACAGTCCAACAGGTGGTGGGGTTCTGTGAAAGTGGAGGATTAATGGGGATGGTATGAAGTTGCCCACTCAACAGATTACGACCTTTGGTGAACGCCCCAAGACAAGACAATTGGGTCTCTTGCGCAGATATCCCATGATCACGGTCAAAAGAGGGTTGCAGAAGGCAGTGCTCAGAGGACTTGCCTATTGTTGCCAACATGCACTGAGGTTGATATGCTCTCACCTGTGCAACCTGCAAGGACATATCAGAATATGAAAGATGCAGTGCAGCCAATCAACTTGTTCCTGAGCAAAGAGCCAGAGTTTTCATAAGGTTTGGTAAGACGAATGTTGGCTTCTTTGACTTTTCATGCAGAAAGACCGGGAAACTCTAGACTTCGCACAGAGACATGTATACAATTCACCAGCATGTGGACTGACACTTGTATACGTTTGGTATGATGTTTGGAACATCTTAGAATCCTTGGGAAAAGCCGAGCTTTGGTGCACATGCAGACCAAGCTTCCAGTATCATCGATTTTATCCAATTAACACTGACCAGGATATTAGACACTTAATGTTACCATCAATATGATGCCTATGATGTTACACACCTTGCAAAGCTTCATGGACACTATCACAAGGATTATGCGTTTCAATGGAACTGTTTGAAAAGATTACTAGCGGTTCCACGAATGCAAGAAGCCTTGCATGGGCAACACTTGATTTTTGGTAGACTACACCCTAACGGTGGCGGTTCAAACAGAGAGACCAAATACTCACAGATGAATGGCAATCCGTTTCAGTTGAGACACCTTGCATCACTTGCAACACATGTACGAATGGCAGCTGGCGAGGGCGAAGAAGGCGGGGCAGCACATGGATGTGGACACTTTGTAAAAAACATAAAGAACTCATTCTAAGAAACGACATACACAAACATTGCCCAAAAAGTGACCAAACGATACAATGACCGTTCAATCCCAGACTCTCCGTGTACGGAAGAGTTTCCTACATTAGAATCACAAATGAGGTACATGTTTGCAACTGTTCCATACATGCTTGGGAATCTAGAGCACTGAGCAGTGGATCATTAATTAACTGATCTCAGGGTAGCTTGCAGAAGTCAGGTACTTGTGCGCAATGGCCGTATTCGTTATGAACCACCCCATGATATGTTTGTGCTCGACTAGTCCCAAAAGCAAAGCGCTACAAGAACAATGAACAAGCAGCCAGGTACCATGGTTGGAAGACCACAGCAATTAAACAATCATGTGGAACCATCATGTTCGGAAACTCAAACAGCACAAATAGATGTGTCCCTGTCAGGGCAGTACAGTCTTGTTGAAGGTTAATTTAGACCTAAATCCTATATATAATAGTTGAGGGAGATACAATATACCAGTTTCACCTGGTTGTTTGGGGTTGGCTTTCCCTCACTGCCTTAGAATCATGAACCCGTTCCCAGTCCGTGCTGAGTCCTTGAAGTGCAGGAGTCCTGAGTTACGGCAGATAGCCTTGTCAATTAGTCCACTGACAGCTAATCCAACCTGATTCCTACTAGCCACATGGGACACTGGCCCAAAAAAATAGACTGCACCCCATCCTACAGGTCCCAATTTTAACCCAGCAAAGTGTTTGTGGACCTTACTGAGTAGTGTTTTTGTATGATCAACGTGACTGACATGAGGTCCTTCGCTGACCAAAAACGGGCTCCTGCTGGTCCAACCCGCCCGTTCTGAATCGCCTTGGCCGGGTGCGGGTGCTTTGGAGCACAGGTGGTCCTATGGGCGAGAGGCCTGGTGGCTTCAGCCACCCAGAGTCAGCTGCCGCGACCTTTTGTTAGGGCATTCATTTTCTCCACAACAGATATGAACAGATGAAACCAAAAGGCGAAGGAAAAGAGGTTAACCATGGTGTTCGTCCGACATGGGTCCGACCGTGGTTTTGTTTTGAAGGGTCATCCACAGCAGTCTCCACCGCCGAAGAAACATGGTTCGACTCGACGAATCGTTCTCTCGGTTCATTCCAGTTCGCGCAGACCTTCACTTCGCGGCGACCTCGTTTTGTTTTCCGCTGGATCGAGTCTGGGGTTCATCCATTCGAGGAGAGCGTACGAGACGAGCGTCGAGCGTGTACGCTCGTCCAGGAGTCCCAGAACAAGAGTTGAAGGTGTTTCTATACCCAGACGCTCCATGTATTGCATATTTACATCTTTGGGGTGTGGGGCGGCATATCTGGCAGTCCCATTGGTCGTGTCTGGGATGGCACTGTTCTTTTTTAGAACACATATCTGGCCCCCCAAGGGACTGGTGAATGGACACCCCTTGACCTCGTTTTCGGGGCTATGACCCCTTTCCGTGGTGCTGGTATTGGTGTCGATATAGGGAGACTGCACCCCGTAACGATCGTCCGCTGGGTAGACAGGTCTACTTCCGCTTCCAGGAGGTCGGAATGCTGTCGGCCTCCCTGTTTGAGCGACACACCCAAATACTGAGTCCAAAGTCCAACTCTCCTTTGGGGTTGAAAGGATCAAGACTTGTGTTTTTAGCAGACTTTGTTACATAGTGGAGTCCGACACATCTATTAAAGCAGACATAGAAAAGCATAGTCTGCCTGCACCCTCCAACAGGTCTCCTCTGAAACTTCTTGAGCCTTAACTGGTCTCAATTGTGAGGGTGCAAGAATAACAGCCATTATGCCAATGCCATGCCATTGAAGATCCTCCAGTCAACCCGCCGCGGTCTACCTGTCCCAGGGACTTCGACTTGGAGAAGGCACCAAATGACCTGCGGCAGATGAATGGGACGAAGAACCCCAGACACGCCGGATAGGACTGGAAGATTAGCCGGCTCAGAAAGACTCTGAAAAACCACCCCAACTGATCTATATGCCAATGCCATGGAGTGTTTGGGTTCACAGTCAATTTGGTTCTTTTTGGGGTTAGCAAAGTCCTGCAACATGGAAGTATCCATCTGGAGGTATTGACCATTGACCGAGCCATGGTTTTCATAGAGCAGATATTGAGAGGTGTATAGAGTGACGGTTCCGGATAGTTATCATTGAGCAGATCGAAGATGAGACTATCCAACGCTGTTTGAAAGTGTCGGGAGTCGGGAGTTTAATTGTTTGATGATCGTGTTGTCGTATACTGATCCCTTCAAGAGCCGCAGACTGCATGGATCCAAGTCAGTGAGTCGGAGTTGAGTATATCGGTCTTCCTGCTTCGAACGTGCATACCACAAGACCCCAAGGCGTGTTGATTAGACCCTAATAGACATCCCTTACCACCCATTGGCACCTTTGAGGGTGTCCTGGTATAGCTAGTGTCCTTTTGTCCCCTCCTGTTTCTCCACAAGAACGGTTGAGTTGGCCGTTTGGAGCGCTTGCCCCACTTGAGTTGGATGGTTCGGTACCCAGACACGACCTGTGGACTGGAAGATATGCCCCCCCATGTACCCCTGAAATGAACCACCCAATGTACATGCCAGTCCCATGGAGTGTGTGGGGGAAAAAAGTGTCGCCCTGTGCATGAAGAAACCCTCCCGGGCCTGGAGATCTAAAGTCATTCTAGAGGCAAAACCATCTTTGACCAGCGTTTGTGGTCTACATTCAGATAGATTCAGTTGGGTCTGGACATGTTTGGACGAACATATTTTTCCCCTATATACGAATCATTGTCCATGGTCCAAGCTTTTTCATGCTAGAGCTGATGGGTCCAGGTGGTGGTTGTCCCCACAGAGACTTTGAACATTAAATTTGGTGATTGGCCCCCTGCATTCATTGAAGGAAACGGACCAAGGCGTCGGCCTCAGGGCCCAGTCTTTGGGGAGCAATTCTGCGGTTGCTGCACTTGGAGCCGGACCAATGCCGTCAAGCATTGTCAAGCCATTTGCGTTCAAGAGAAAAAAGGATCTCGATCTGGCAGATTGCCACAACTGTCACATGAGATGTTTTCCATGATCCATTTAAGCTGCTAAAGCCTTGATTTGTTGGGTCGACCGAACACTCCAGACTGCTCCGGCCTCGCCATGTATCCCAGTGCGGGTTTGGTGCGCTACAGCACGGTGGGCGGTCCAGCCCCGGTATCAACCTGCTGGATCCGCGCCGCTCGTCCGGCCCATCCGGAGCGAGCGGTGCCCGAAGCGTCCCCTCCGGGGCTCGAGGAGTTCTTACAACGGCTGCACTTGGCGTCCTACACGGCCTCTTGGCATCCGCCGTTTCCACCCTGCGGTCGAAGCGCCGTGCGGGCCGTGCGGGCGGAACAGCCAGATGGTTTTTGCTACCCAGACCCAGACGAGAACGAGCCAGGCATTTCAGCCATGACGTTTGTGGAGTTTGTGGTTGGATAGGTCGCCAACCGTAACCTTGAGTTTCACGAACATTATAGCATGAAGACATGAAGTTACATTAAGTTGATTATCCGGCTTTTTCCAGCCTAAATCAGAAAAAGAAAAAACATCGCCACAATTATTTGAAGCTCTCAGGCTCTCCAACCTGGGCATACAAGAAAGACAGGCTTGACGGACTGATCTCTCCTTACCCCCAGATGTGTGCCTGAAACTGGTTCTCCACCACCAGCCCTCGGTCCGAACCCAACAAAACCAACGATGTGTTCACGCATGCCAACGAAGCCGCATTCTCCCTGCTGTTCTCCGAACTCGGGGTCTAAGGAGGCGGTGAAGGTGTGGTGTGAGGAGCAAGGTGCCTGTGAACTCTCCGAGTTGGTCGAGAATGCCGAGGACTTGGCGAAGACCCCTGGCGCAGTGGAGACGCCCTGCTCCGGCGGGGTCGATCCAGCTTCGCCGTGCGAGCCGCGCGGAGCTAGGTATGGGGGACGTTCCCCAAAACCACGAGAACCGCCACTGTTGGACTTGAACCTGTGAACCAGAAGTTCGTCTGTCTGGAGGAAAGCCCTTGAGGTTCGCCAGTCAATGAAGGTCCAACAAGAATTCTATTTTTGATATACCTGGACCCCCAAGCTCTGGTTAGTGGACACCCCTTGACCTCTTTTTCGGGGCAAAGGATTTGCTTGGTTTCCATCACGAGCGACGAAGCCAGTTGTTTTGGCACCCCAAGCGGGGCATCCATCCATGCGTCTTTGCCGAGTGCATGCCGCAGCCATATATGTTCAATCTCAAACTCTTTTCTTCTTTGAGGGGGGTCAGCACAGAGCTCCAAACTGGCTTTAGCAATACCAAAGGTGCACGGAAGAATAACAGTTAAAGGAACTACCACTGAGTCTAGAGTCTACCAAAATGGAAGTCTACCAAATTCGGGGGACACTTGCTGATGTGGAACCTTCTTTTCTCGCCATACCCAAACATCCATGACATAGTCACTCTTCCGCTGGTTGCACCGTGGTCCCCCTTCCCACCTGGTAGTGGGGTAGTGCTGGTAGGTTCCTGCAGGGTCCACCTGTGGGGAGTTCTTCCAGTTGGCAGACGTCCAAGGGCAGGCTGTATTGGCTGCAGCATTGATTCCCCTTGACTTTCTACTAACACGCATCCAAGGTCATTTGGGTCATTTGGGATTGTTTTTGTTTTTTGTTTAATTCAAGTACCCACCCACTAGAATCATCTAGAATCATCACGAATCGTGCCGCTCATCCGCAAATTATGTAGTTGTTAGTTGGATGGACACAATCAAATCAATCATATATCTAATCAACAAAACACGGAAGACCCTTTGATCTGGAGGTTTTTAAATGTTTGATACGAGTTTAATAAACGATAGTGTGCAAACGCTTGAAAGTTTCCTAGGTGAACTGTGTGGTTTTGACGTGTTTTCCATGTTTCAATTTTTGCGGATCCCCCCTGTTTTGGCACCTCCTATGATACACACTCAGATAAAAAGTTACCGGTTCCGTATCCTCAGGTTTGGTGGTATTCGACCCTCCTGGCACCCCCCCCTCGACCCTTGTTTCGTTGTGTTGGTCGTTGGGGAACCTCCCATGACCGTTGAACATCTCGCACGCGACGTCGCCTCGCGGAACTTGTTCTGAGGACCTTGAGATTTCCGCCGAACAAAGCACAAGAGATCAAGGCGAGATCAAGCACAAGAGATATAAAGCAGTATATAAAGCCTATACCTTGGGGGTGTGCCTTCTTACCTGTAACAGTCGGTAAACGATTTATCACTATTTAGAGAAAGGACTTTACTAACGATCATCATCCACTGTTATTGGCCAAACCTATACCAGCAATTCCAAAGGAGTGGTTCTGAGCCTCATCCGGTGAGTGGATGTTTTCGGCACCCTCCACACTTTGGAACTGCTGGTAGTTGCATCTCCCGGCATGTGTTTGTTGGACAATGTTTTGTAAAGGTGTTCTGGAATCCTTGGAGTACAGAGAATTTGAGAGAAGTGCTGAAACCTGGCCGGAGCCTTTTAGTGTGCTTTTGGGATGTGGTCCTTATTTACTAGGATGTGCCATCATATTTATATAGACTGCTGAACATCCGTGTTTTCCTACTAGTTCTTGTAGCGCTGAACATCCGTTGAACATTCATTTGAGAACTCCGTCAAATGTGTGATTGACCACTCCCAGACACTCCATGTATGCCATATATGCCTACATTGGAATGGGGTCAATGTCGGCATATACGGCGTACGTGGAGTGTCTGGGACTGCACCAGACTGTCTGGAATTTTGGGAGGTTAAGGGCCCTGCTTTCGTGAAAGCCATCGAGAAGCCTAAAATCTCGAAAGCCATCAGTGCGCCACCAGCAGCGCTTGCGCCGCCTGCGCCGACGCGGGTGCTGGGGCAGCTGGGTGCTGATGTGCTCCGGGCAGCTTTCATGCCCAAAGCACTGGAGATGAAGGCACCGGGGGGGGGGGCATGGCACTGACAAGACACGCAGGCTGGTTGGGAGGGAAGAGATAAGCACAGGGCAAAAGAGCCTAAATTCAGACAAAATCAGCAGGTAATTGTTTGTCATAGAATACTGAAGTGATGTTTGTTGTACGATCTTGTACGGATAATCCGTGAAACAGAAACGTTGCAGCTGTGGAGCCATTGTTTGAGCGCCCCGGACGGCCGCCACCGAGGAGGAAGAGAACGCTGCAAAGCCTGGCCTTGCTTCGACGGATCGTACTGAAACCGTGCGACATCAACAAGAGCTTTTACATTTTGGTTAAACGCCTATAACGAAACCGACCCTAAAAACCTAAGGTGTTTGATTCACACCTCCGCACACCTCTAAGGTTTTTTCTTCTTCATACCCTTAAAAACCTCCCCGTGTCAGAGGAACATCTTCTCGCCACCTGGTGATTCGACCAGGGGCGAAAGGCTGAAGATTCTGTTTGCAGGTGCGGGTGCCCTCCATGTTTTTGGCACCCTTGGTCAGACCCTGGGCATCCGTTTTCGTTTCGATCCTCACCTCAGGGAACCTCAACGACTGGACCCGTTCCAAACCTATCCCAGACGCTCCATGTATGCCATAGATGCCTACATTGACCCCAAAACCACCAATGTAGGTATATGGGGCAGTCCCATGGAGTGTCTGGGTATATAACAGTGTCGACACCGTCCTCACCGTACCTGAGGTTCGGTACGAAAACGGATCCCTAGGGAGATGCACTTCTCCTTTTCAGAACCCCCTCGCAACCCAGAGCTCGACGACTCAGAGCGGGGCTGTCAGACGGTCAGACGTCCTGAGGAGACAGATCTCTGGGATGAACGGGAAGCACGCTGTCATCTCCAGGCCATGCAGGATCCCTGTCTTTTCTATTCAGCTGAAGTGCCGGATGATTCCCTGAAGAAGTTCTCCGGCGAACGTGCCTTGCGGAAGACGGTGCGGACTGGAGATCGTCCGCGGACGAGGGAGTGGGTTGCCGGTATATACCTGGACCCGACTGACCCAGTATCCTATAGAAAATGGGACAGCCGGGGTGTTCTCTTCTTCAGTTGATGTCTGACAACAGACTTCTTCACCAGCGCTGCGGCAACAAAAAGCAGGGCCATATATATAGATATATAGGTAGGATGAGCCTGGTGTCTAAAGTTGTGTTCATCGTCCATTGCCGTCAAAAGATGTAAAAAAGGACAATAATAATAGTTGTATAATTACTGTTCTGAAGATCGTCGTGTCCCTCCACCAATTTCAGACAACTAATTCGGTCGTCAAATGTTGACCTTTTCTCCTGCAAGTTTGAGGCTCCAAGCGCCACGAGCTCCACCCATCCTCAGAAGGTGAGGACAGAAACCCCTCCTGGCACCCACCCCCCCACCATCGAAAAGGAAAGTAGCTGGATCCGGGAATACCTGGAGCCGACTGACCCAGTCCCGTAGAAAGTGGCACATGACTCGAAGAGAAACCGGACACAGCGGCTTCATGTTGGGCCCCCTAGGTTACTACTATCGTGGCTATGTGGAGCCGCACCTCTTGCGCCAGCGCAACCCCACTGAAGCGGAGCTGAAAGTGAAGGACAGCCATGGGTGAGAACCTCACGGCTGAAACACATTGGTTCACTCGAGTTTGATGATTCAACTAGATCCCTAAAAAATACTGAAACGACTATATGCATGCAGCATGCATATATAGTATAAGCGATGTCTCAGTCACACATTTCAGCACCAACAACAGGTTATCAAGATTTTTGATGTTTCAAACATGTTACTGACTTCCAGAGTGATGAAACAGATATATATATATATATAGGTTTGACCTTTGATCTGCTGGATTTCTATCTCTAAACCTCTTTGTTTCAACTCCATGTTTCCACCTGAATTCACAGGTTTTCAGGAACACTCACCGCTCCGGGATTGATCCTACCCTTTGCCTCGTCCAGGAGCGCGCCTCGGCAGAGGCCAAGGAGCAGCTGGACGCCGCCTGGGGCGACGTCGCCGATTCGCCGCCGTCGATGCCGCGGGCGCAGCAGCGAGCGCAGGCTGCACGCCATGCAGCCTTCGAAGATGCTGGGTGTGGAGGAGGTTGGGGCGGTTCAGCCACCAAAAGGTTTTTACACTCCCTAGAACTTAACTAACATGGAAGTGAAAAAAAAAAACTGTTTGTAGTGGAAAATTGTCTTCCAAGGGGTCATTCTCCACTTCCATGTTAGTTCCTGGGAGTGTAAAGGTTATTAAGATCAGCTGCCTTTTTGGCCGCTTTTTGGAGGTCTTTGTGAAGTCGAGTTTCTCCACCTGTTGGGGTTTCAAAACCTGTTTTTTTTGTGTCCCGGTTCCAGCAAGAGGTGCTCATGGGATTTGGAGAGGTGTCATGTGGCATTTGACTGCTTTTTGGATGTGTTTGTGTTGTTGTTGTTTTTTTTAAATTGTTTTTAACTCTTCTATTTTTTTCTGGGCCCTTGGTCTTAACGTGTTGTAGAAAGAGACTGGATAGACTTCCTGTGCACACGGTTGCTGACATGAGTGATTGATATCACTATGTCTCAGGATCCATCTTTGGCAGGCTGGGGAATCTGTAAAGAAGCAAACCGGATGGGCGACGCACCGTCTTCTGCCGTGCTGGCTGACCGAATCCGATTCGCGAGACTGCCTGTGGATCTCCCAGTTGCACCCCCTTGAAGACAGACAATACAGATGAAAAATATTGAAAAGTAGACCGAAAGCCCTGGAAGCTGGTGATCTCTCTACAAAACATATATAATATGTTAGAATATACATGATGTGGATGATGGATGTGTGAAGGACAAATCCAGGTTCCGAATCTTCCCAAAACCTTCCAGATCCTTGGATATCCGGGGCATCCGGCGCATGTCCAAGGACATTCGCCAGGAGTTCCTCTCGCAGTTCGAGGGAAATCTGCAGCAAGAGCTGGGCAAAGGCTACAAGCTTACGCCAGCTGATGTGCATCCCAGGGTGAAGGAGTCCCGGGGAGTACGGTGGCGGCGGTGGCCCTTTTGGGGACAGTGGCGATGTACACCCTGGAAGATTCACATTGAAAATGGACCTTTGGAAGCTTCCTCTACAAACCAGTGTTTTTTAGGTTCCATGTGGACCTCTTCCAGGGAGTAGCAACGACCCCCTGGAAGAAGGTGAACATAAAACCCAATGTTCATTGGTTGGGTTGGGTGCCTCGACTTAGGACTGCTGTCAAGAGCGAACGCCTCCCGAACCGTCCCCCGTATATATACCGCGTTCTTCTACGCGCCATGGGTCCCATGGGTGCTGGGGGAGATGGAGGTTCCGTGGCTGGGCTGCTAGACACAACTCGAAGGGGTGATCGATCCTAACGCGAAGGAGTCGCTGTGAAGAATCGGCCTAGCTCCATACCAGGGGTTCACAGAGCTCGGGGTGGTGTGGCTCGTCCCATCCAGTGAGTGGATGTAATTATATATTAATATATACCTGGACCCTCCAAGGACTCCAAGCAGTGTCCTGGCTGGACTACCCCACACTACCGGCCTAGGCTTCCAGACAGGACACCCCGACAGAAGGGTCCTGGTATATATGATATCCCATATTTTGTGGTAAATGGATGTAAATGTATATGGTATCTAGACAGTCTTACCTCACTATAATATGCATGTACGCATGTCTAGTTCTTTGGCAATGCATCTAATCCATTGGGATTGGGTTTTGCATGGTGTTGCAATTAAATTACGCACCTTTGTTATTGATTTTCTGCAAGTGTCTCGCTAGTGGATCGTGTTGTTGCTTTGCTTTAAACTGATTGAGAGTGTTCCTTTTTTTGTCCGCACTTGGCAAACTTGGTCGGCTTGCAATTCCAGCTTTGATTTGATTATCAATACCTAAAGTTACCATGCTTTTGGCCCCCGTTTTTTGGATATCGAGGCACTCGATGCTTCTTTGCAACATGTTTCTTTGTGCTGTAGAACAAGACAAAAGGTCTTCCTGCTGTCTAAGGGGGGCGTTTGTTGGGCGGCAATAGCCGGATGGCCGAATTTGCGTGCAGTGGTCTGATGCGGAGGTCAATTCCTACGTACAACGTAAATGATATGGCCGTTCTGACGTGGAACAATGGAACATTCAGCAGGCAAAATTTACTGTATGCATGTATTGCCAAACTGCTGAAGCTAGTGTTTTGGATAGAAAAACATGCAGGTCTTGAAGACTGTCCAATGTGGCTTCTGAGACCATGATGCCAGTTGATCAGCAACATGGGGACAATGTGAGTGCCTAGAGAGTGCCTATGGATGTTTGCTTACTTGTGTGTTATTCCCCCTTGAACAACGAACTGTGCCTATGGAGAGTGCCTAGAGAGTGAGGGTTCGTTGTTGAAGTTTGCCTTTGGACTAACTTAATGCAGTGTGGCCAAGTTTGGACTCACTCACTCAATGAGGGTTAGTGTCTTCAGTTGGCCTGGTCGCCATGGCACTTCGTAGAGTCGACTTCCACATGGTGTACGGTGTTCGCCTTGCCGTGGCCTAAAACCAACGCAGGAACCATGGTTTTTTTCGGAGAACCTATAGGAGGGAGTGTTGTTGGAATCTCAGAGTAGGTGTCGTGAGTGTAGCCTATTGTCGTTTTTGTTGTCGTGGGTATATAGGTGTTGTTGTGAATAAAGGTTGGAATCTCAGAAGCTGGGTAACTCCAAGGCATGTTCTTTCAAAGGATCTATGCTTGTCTACGGCATGTGCCTGTGACGAACACAGCGCAACACACTGCTTAGGACCGCCGGACTGCCCCGAAGCAGGCTGCCCACCCTTTTCAGGTTACTGTACATTGCAGTTTTACGTCGAAAATACTCTGCGCCATACTCTTGTTTGAACACCGTATTGAGATGACCCCTGTGTAGGGGTGTTCTTTTCCCCTGGCCAACACGGTCTCGAGCAAAACTTGACGTTCAAGATACGCTTCTGGATTTGGGGAGGGCTCCGCATCCAACGAACCGAAATCTGTGTGGCGGCCCTGGGCACGCGCCAAGCCCTAAGACTTACCATTGATGGTGCTTCAGGTCTGATATCTTGTGACAGAAGGTCTTAGTGGATGTAGTTCTTGGTGTGACCTCAGGGTCTCAGTTCGGATCTCAGTTCGGAACAGCTGTGAACAGCCTTGGGGCCACTGAGGCCACCACCTGCAACCCTTCCACCATATGACTAAGTCAGGGGAACCCGTGAATAGATAACAATTCTGAGCTGTGGAGCTGGGGTTATGATCGTGTTTTTGCAGCAGCACCACGGATTCCGGGTGTCCATTACCAGCCCCATAAAAGAGGTGATTCGGGGTGTCCATTAACCATTTTTGGGGGGGGGTCCAGGGATGCTTTGGGTTCTATATCTTTGAGATTGAAGTGCCAGGAGAAATTTGTCGAAGAAAGCAAGTCTCTGGGAATCTCAGACTGTTACAAGGTGGAGGAGAGCTCGGTGGCCAATTGTTGGCTGGGACACAAAAGCAAGACGCCAAATGTAGCAAATGAGTTTGAGCTTTACAAGAAGGACCAAGGGACACCGCCCTGGTCCAATGGGTTGGGTCGTTCGGCTTGTCCGATCTGTAGGGGTCTCCCGGTCGTTCCACATCGAAAGAGTTTTTGGTGTCGGTGGCTGGATCTCAGGAATTGTCCTTCCCATGGCAGGGGTCGGACCTGACCTCTTGGCAGGGGTCCGGGCCCTCAAAACCTATCTGTCCTATCTGTTTGAGGACCCGGATTCTTAGGGTTTGCTAAATCTGCGCAATCCCAGCTTTGAGCCAAAGGAACCGCTTAAGAAGGCTCGGTCGATGAAAGAAACCCACGGGTCCGACTTGAAGACAGGAATTTCGTGCTACACCCCCAACGCCTAGGCCTAGGGGTCGAAATCGGATGGTCCAGGTACCTGCAGTCGCTGAAAATCGGATGTCCTGAATCCAGGAGGCTCCAGTCATTCACGAAATGTCTTAAACTCGAACCCACCAGAAGCAGCTCCACAAACCGACCAACTGCTCCGTTTTCCGCCCAAGGCACCGGAGCTTTGGACTACGGCTACCACGGCACGCGCCAGGCCAACATCCCTTCGATCTTGGGCACTGGTCTCAAGGTGCCAGGCAATGAGAGTGGCGTGCGGGTGGCCAATGGAAGCGCACATGGTGTGGGGATCTACACTGGGCCGCCTGGTGATGATCTGGAGCTGGGTGAGAAGAGGTCGATGATGGTCGATCTTTTTTCGAGCTTTTGTGCAGCATGACTCTTGCATGTCTAAACAAGAAACATCCAAGAAACACCACTTAAACCTAAAAGAATTTCTAAGAAAATACTCGGTCTCAATACCGATCGGAGACCCTGGCCCTTCCAATATTTCTCTTTGTTCGTAACTGAAGGGTAGGGATCCAAGTACCTTCTCAGAAGCTGATTGGAGACACTGTTATGTAGGTTTGGAGGGTCCAGTAGTACCCTGTTCTGAAGGTACTTGGATCCCTATAAAGACTGAAGGGTAGGGTAGGGGAAATTCATTCAATGGGGCACGCATCCGACGGGAGCTGGACCGGAATTCCGCTTCTTCGACCCGGACGCACGACCCGGGAACCGGGACGGGAACCCAGGGTGTTTCGGGGGGGATCACACAAAGAAACATAAAAACGGTTGGAACATGGTGAAAGTGTATAAGGCCTGGGATTCCAGAGGAAACAGACATGAAAAGACCAATTTGGCCTTAAAGGCTTTTTCAAAGCGAGTCCTTAAACGGTGGTCAATCGTTTGAGATTTTTCCGGGTCCTTCTCCAAGGATGCCTGGAAATCTTTGGATCTCCCAGAACTTCAGTGGCTGGGCGGCCTTGCACAGTTGATGCCATCTACTCTCATAGCAAAAACAATACAGTGATTTTAGAGTAGATGGCACTGGCACCCGAAGATGTCTTTTACATGGGGGTCCATACAAACATCCTTTTGGAGATTCTGCCATCTACTCTCAATCCACTACAACAGACTTCGAAGGGCAGGTTTTTTTGGAAGAAGAGTTGTCCACTACCATGGATTGTTTTTGCCTTTTGAGCATGTCACTGGCCCCAGTGAAAGCCCACATGTTCCTTTTCATAGTTCGCCTGATGCTCAATTGTATAAATGATTATATATGCACTACCCAAGTTAGTGATTTATGTTGTTGTTTTTTTTATATATTGATTTGTTGATTCCTTCCCACCCCAGTTCCAGACATGTTGAACATCTCCTGGAGTCAGCCAACGTATTATAATGTATTACATATTTGCGTGCCACTTTTCTTGAGAAATCTGCCCACTCAGGTGATTCCAAGAACATGCTCATTTGCGGAGTCCTTGATCCTGATGCTCCGCCCCGTCCGAAGGTTGCCATGCCCTCCCAGGCTGCAGTGACCACGACCACGCAGAGGCTGAAGGCAACACATCGACCACACCGGCGGCCCGTGGTAGCCGCCGCAGCTGCGCCGCCCCCGGCACCGGTGTTCAGCTGTACGGAATTTCGGACGAATGATGAGATCAAAGTGACTTGGGCCGCAGCACGTTTGACAAGTAGCGCCGCAGGCGGTGTGTTGTTTTTGTTTTCAGGATTCTGTAGCACCTGCTGGGTGGGTGGAAGGAAATTATGCGGTCAAATAGCTTGGAGATGTTTTTGGACTTTGAAGGATGCATTAATCATTAGGGTAATGGTAAGTGCCACTGGAGAAGCAACACTGGCTGTGGCATAATGACCAGTCAGAATGGTGTTGTCAAGTTCGTTGTTTTGTCACTTGGAACAAGTTCCTCGATGCTGGGCGAATTAAGATTGTGATGCGGCTCAGCCTATGGAGTCCTATTGTCCTTTACCAGGGCTTTGGATAACATCCATCTTTTTTGAGTCATAGCCACAGCCATTCAAGCGTGTTCAATGATAAGTATCATGGGAACGCTTCCACAAACAATACAACGCATGTTTTGTTCCCTACTTTGAGGCATCCACTTTCGTGACTTAAAACGTTCAATCAAGATGCGGCTGTCCCACTTGACATAATTCCAATATTAAAGCTGACCTCAAAATAGACACAGGGAATGTCCAAAACAAACAGCAAACAAATTTCCTAGGGATCCAAGTACCTTCTCAGAAGGTGATTGGAGACACTGTTATGTAGGTTTGGGGGGGTCCAAGTACCCTGTTCTCAAGGTACTTGGATCCCTAGGGATTGACATGTTGTTGCTTTTTCAAGCACTGCACATTCCAAAAAAGAAAGAACCGTTTCAGGTGGTGGGCGCCGCTCGAGTGATCTTCAAAGAAGACGCTTGGGACTGCGACCCAATGGGTTCGACAGGTGGGACGAACCGGCAGGGGCTTCGGACGGCGGAGTGCTGCAGGTGTGACGGCAGTGTTCCGTTCGCGCGCACCACACAGTTCGGGGTGGTCGGGTGGTTGGTTGGTCGACCTGGTGAAGATGTGGACTCGGTGGTGCTGGTAGAGGGTGTTTTGTGTGTTTAGATCCAAAGGGTTCTTTGTCAAATCCAGAATGACCACCTAGAAAACCCAAGTATGCAAAAAAAAAGCAATCATGTTTTTTTCCGGCAAAAAAGGTCATCTCAGCCAAGAAACGTCATTGTTTTGTAAAATTGTAGTTGCTGCGATCAAGCCAGTGGAGGGTATGCAATATTCATTTTTTTTCAGCTGCTTCCAATCCCAAATCCAGCCTCTTCTTACACCAAAACGTGGTTGTTCACCTAAACTTAGGCTGTTTGAGTCGGTTCCGGCGAAAGTGCAAGGATACACCGTACCTTTCGATGGCCCTTAGGATCACCAATAATAAAAACTTTGTTGGCTGCACAATGCCATTTAACTGACACGCAAAATTTGGACAGTTTGACAATAATTTCCCTCGTCTCAAAAGTGGTGTGAGAAAAATTTGGCGTTTGGGCCGAAGTCATACACAACCTGTAACGCAGTGCGAGCCCCTCTTAAGGAATCGAAACAACTACTACAGCGAGTTAGCTGTGTTTTGCTCCTGCAACTGCTGGAGAAGGGTGTCTTCCTCATCAGGGGGGCTGCACAACATCATGTCGGGCAGGGCATGCCTTCAAAGCCCTCACCTCACACAGAGTGGCGCAGCTCGAAACCAAGGAGTTGATAGGAGCAGGCGTGGCCACATCAAAGGAAACCTGCATGTACCAATGTACCAGAGGCCCCTGAAACAGCAAAAAATTCTACATTCAAAACATCCAAACCGTGCCCGGCAATTTCCGCAATTTTTCCGGTGATTTCCGTCATTTGGACGGTAAATTCCGTAATTGTTTTTCGGCCACTTCTGCATGGAAGTTTAAATGTCCACCGAAAAAAAAAAAAACGGAAATCTCAGCGATTGCAGATCGAGCTAGGTTCTGTTTTCCCTTGCCCCAAGCGCTTCTCTATTATTCAGCTTTGAATGATCACCGCAACTCATCCGAATCTTCCAGGCAAGATGGAATCAAGGCATTCCATGACAAGCTGTTGGGATAATTTGACACATCTAAAACACAGCATGCTCTCAGTAAAATTGGCTTCTGTCCGGTCGATTTCCAGGGCCTTCGCTTCGAAGTTCTTCGAGGGCAAAGGCAGAGCAGCTTTTCAACGTCTTGAAGTTTTGGCCACTCTAACCATGACTATGAATTAAATAGATAGAGCTCGACCACTTTGAAATGGTTTCGATGGCGATATGGATCTCCAAAGCAATCTTTGCAAAACGAGGAAGTTGCAATTTGTGCACAGGGGGCATCATGTATCATCTAATTGCCCTCTGGTGATTGCAACATCCTCTGTGTACAGAAAGTAAGTACTGGCGCCCTATTCATTTGCCCACAACTCCAGACTGGAGATCTCAGACAGAATGGTCCCATGATTTCTCAAACAAACAGCAGTAAGTTTGCAAAAGGTAACAAAAGGTAACCAAAATCCAAAAAGGTAATTGTTATACAAAAAATACATTTTCAACAAAAAACTGTTTTTTTTTTTTCTGAAACGACATTTTTTTTGCATACTTTAGGTTTACTAGGTGCAATGGTTTCTGATCGCCTGGATGTGGTTCAATCGCCCCTTGCCTGGGGCACCCTGGAAATTCCAGTAAAACCATGTAAAACCTGGTTGAAAAGAAGTCACACTCGCCTCATCATCGGAAGCTCAGAGACTCGTCTCTTTGCGTTTGACGCTACCCCGGTGAGGTCGTTGGTCTTAGCTTTCTGGAACCAGTTCTCAACCTGCAACTTCGGCCCGAAGTCTTGCCACTTGGGTCGGCCCGCTTCGTAGCCTGAGGAACGGGTGGCACCTTTGTTTATTGCTCAACCTGCAGCTTCAGACCGAAGCTTCACCTACCAGGAAGCCACTCCAGGTTCGGAGCCCCTTCGAGGTGGCAGCAGCCTGGCAGCTTTTGGGGTGATGTTTTTGATGGGTTTCAATGAAGTACAGGGCACCTGGGCACTCCCATACGCATGCGCAGGCTCGACGACCCTCTCAACATGTTTTTCAGTATAGACGTTCGACCTTAGCTCTTGTGAGAACACCCAAGTTTCGTCTTTTAGTGGATTTGGAACTGCAACTGTAGCTAGCCATCATTGACCCAGCTCAAGGATTTCTGGTTTTTTCGAGGTTCATCTCGTAATTCTTCATGGGCTGCTCAGTGTAGGGAGGTGAGACTCAAACAAAGCGTTTCACAAATGCCCTTTAGTCTGAAGGCAGCTCTTCATCTTCAGGCTGAGTTCAGTCTCCTCTTGGCTGCCCTTTAGTCTTAAAGTCACGAGTTGTCAGACGCCTTCCATTCCAAAAAACATTTCTCGATGTGTTTTTTGGTTGTTTTTTTTGTTGGGCAGATTCCGGGCAGATCATGATCTGCTGATTTGTGAGAAAAGCTAAGGTAAAGGGCAAGTCTACATCCCCGAAAGCGGCGAAGTGGTTTGGGATTGCTGGGAACCTACAGGAGGTGCCTATGGTCGACGGCTGAAGCGTCGCGTGGTCCAGAAGGAGAGACAGCAAGAGCGTGCCTCCTTGAGACTTCTCAAGCGTACAGAGCAAGAAGCCTCCTAAGAAAAAGTGCTCTCCCCCACCCAGAATTCCGGGACTCCAGGGATCTCAAACTTATTAGATAGAAAATGAATGAAAATGATAGGACTATTTCGATCATTTTGGTTGTTGGGATCCTGCAGCAAACGTTGTGCACAGCTGCTGGGTGGGGGGGCATCACCTTGGCTGACACCACGGGGAGAGCAGATTCTCGCGCTGCCAACATCACACCTCTTGCTTGCCCTCTACAGCGTCCAGTCTTCAGTAAACCACCCATGTAAACCCGAGAATCGCTTTAAACGTGATGTTGGAGCGCAAGCGGATGTTCTCTATTTGAGACTTGGGGGCGTCTTTGAATCATCAGCTTCTTTGCATTTCTTTGCACTGGGTTGCCCAGAAAATGTGTCCCTGTCAGTAAGACTATAGAGCAATGTGTTCGCTACAACTGGCATCGAAACCAATAAGTTTCCAGAGACTGATCCTCTTTGCAAGCCAGTGGTGAACTTGGAGTCCATGTTAGTTGCGGGTATTTTTCTCATGTATACCCGACCATTTTGGGTCTGCGAAGCAGATTCTTGATGTGATTCGTGTTGTTCAGATCCGGCGTGCAACAGATGGTACAGATGCCACAGATGAGAAAAAGGTAACATCCTCGGAACTTGTGGGGGGAAGCAAATGGACCTCCCACTATAAGTGGAGCATGAAAATTTAATCAACAATTGGTCGATTGTTTGTTGTTTGCAAGTTGTTTTCTTTAGCGATGGAACTGCTGCAACTGAATTTTGCCAATAGACCTTTTGTGGACACATCCCAAAGCGTCTAACCAGTTACTGAGTACTGCGTGCGTGGCTAAATCATGCTAAATCTACCGTGGCTGCAGCACAGCAATCATCGCAGTTCACCAGGTCACTCTCTTCGATCGGTGCGATATCTTGCGAGGCAACTTGAGCAACGTCATAAACCTCTATGAACGAATTTAGGTAGGACTTAAGATGATGAATCTTTGCGAAAGGAAAACTGCAGTTGGGGAAAGCTTGGCGAAAGGTTTGGAGAAAGGCTCTTAATTTTTGATGAATGGATTTTGTTGCGAAAGGGTTGGTGAAAGAGATTTTCAGTACAAAGCATGTCATCCAAACAGAGATTCCTGATAACCAGGCGAAAGGTTGGAGAAAGGTTCGCGAAGATGTGTCGAAAGCAGTGGTTCCAGATTAGGAATGATGATTCCCCTTTGCTGATACTTTTCTTAGATGTAAGTAGCAGAAACTCGGCGAACGGTTTAGCGAAAGAGGTTTTTGGGTCAAGTGGGTCAGCGAAAGCAAAACATGCAGCCGTGAAAGCGTTGCGAAGGGATTGCCGAAAGTTTTTTTGTTTTTTTAAAATAATCTTAACACACATTCCGGATGGTTTTTGACACCGCTCACTTGATTCTCTTGGATTATCCTGGATATTTTGGAGCGGTCCCAATGCTGGGCAGCCCTTGACTCATTGAATCTCCCAAATCGCGAAGATGATCAAAAAACGATCAATAAATAGTAGAAAAATGGGTGGACACTCCTATACGCCTTGCTGTGGATTTGAGTGGATCGGCCACATCAACTTCAGTGTTTGCCGCTGGGGGATGTCTCCAGGCCGGGTTCAATGCGCTCGGACGGGTCCTCAGAGGGCTGAGTTCGGAAGCCGACGTTTGGGTCCTCGTTGGGCTCCAGTCGTACCTTCGTTTCGAAGGTGGGACTGAGGTGGGCGCCGTCCAGTCAGACCGAACCTGAGGAGGTATATACTTGGAGGTTTGCGGGTCATGATATATGTGATATCCTGCATCAACCTAAAACGTAAAGACACATGCAGCGCATGCGCTAAGGATTCGTTTGAACAGATGAGAACCCAAAAAAGAGCTTCTCAATGCGGTGATTAGGACCTTTGCTAGGGCAACCTTTTTATTGCCAGGTGTTCCTACTAATTGTATCTAATTGTATCTAAATGTTGTAAGTTATTGCTGAACCTAGATGACAACCATTTGTTTTGTCGCTGGCTGTTGTCACCTTGTTTCACCCTTGTCTCGCCGCTTCAGATGGTGAGACTTGAATGCAGGGTTTCGGCTCCGGCTGCAGCTGATGATGATACCCTACACCTTCGGCTCCAGCTGGGGTGGGTTTGGGGGTTCTGATGAAAAAATCAAGTGATATTGTTTTCCCTACTCTTCTAGGTGAGGGAAGCAACCTGATGCTTTGTTGCGGGTTTTGCCCCAGAAAAACCGCATGACTGATTGTTATCAGAATGCATCTCATCGTTTCGCATGGCAGGATACAACAATTTGTTGATGCTTTTGTGGCCTGGAACTCTGGAAGACAGGGAAGATCGACAGTCAAAGTCGGGGTGGAGTTTTTTCGTGTGTTTCATGGGGTGGGATCAATCTATCGAGGGGAGATCGGGTCCAAATCCTGCCGAACTTCCACATCCAGACACGACTAATGGGACTGCCCTATATGCCGAGAAACGGCCAGGGGTGGTTGACTGGGGGGGTCTGTCTGGGGTGGCAGTCCGGACTGGCAGTCCCAGACAGCTCGTGTCTGGGACCTCCACCTTCCCCGAAAGCACCGAACAGACGGGAGGGGCGGCACGTAAGTCACCGACATCAGCTGGCCCCCCAAAGGACCCTGAGCCGAACAGAGTCGAGAAGTGGTGTTTCCTCTCTACATTCATGCCCTGAGCCGCCCAGGACATGCGAAGAGCCGCCTGGTTTGTGCGAACAAGGCCACCACCACCTTCGCGTGACGCTTGGCAGATGAAGGGGCCGAAAAAGGAGTCTGGAGACCACTGACAGGTCAGCCCCTTTGTTGGCGGCCTGTAAGATGAGTAAGTTCTCCTCCAGAAGCAGTTTGGGTTTCCAGTACCTGAGAAGGTATTATAGTTATATTTGGAGCTCTAGAAAGAATATCTTTGGACCGGGTGCAGACCTCGAGCTTCACCCAAGGGGGTCATCGCAAAGGATTCTTGCCGGCCGCAGTCTGCGGTTCAAGACCTCGACCCTCGTGAATCGCACGTCTTTGAAGTTTCGGAGTGATTGAGCGAACGCGCTGCACTGCGAGCTCTGCACACGGCTTGCTCAACGCGAATGCGAAACTACGGGGCTCCGCGCAGGAAACGGTCTCGTCTAGTGCGTTTTGGATTGACCCGTCACATCAGATCGTGATTCGATGGAGTGGTCGACCACAGCGGGTCTTCGTCCTACATCCGGTACCGTCCGACGTTACACGGAACACCGCACCTGCAGTTGGTACAGTACCTCGGACAATATGGTACTATACCTGTACATATTCAGCTTATTTCGTGTCATGTCTCGCTTTCGTTTGAGTACGGTATGTCCTCGTGAAATTCGACCCGACCAATGACAGATGGTTTTGAGGAGATTTTGACACACCCGAAGCTCTCGGGTTGCGACCGAAGTCCCGCCCTTCGACCGAAGCTTTCAGGTTTTCAGTTGGCTGATAGAGCGGAGCAGCTGGATCTGATGGTGAAACTCACTTGCTGGGGTGGCCCGGTTTTTTGCGTGAGAGAGCAGGTGAATAGCGCAGGGGGAGCAGGTCATCCCCGCTGATCTCTCAGTCGAGAAGCCCTGTTGAACATGTTGAATCCTTAGCTGAACTATTTTCGTTCTATCTCTTCGAAGAATGACAAGCAATTTAGAATAAGCAAATATTTGCTTCATCACACCAAGCGTGTTTGGTCGTAATCGCATCATCGTTGCAACAGCTGCATTCGTTGAGTTGAATGAACACGACTGTGGTTGCTTGCATCATGCAAACAGGCACTGGAGGGCTTGCTGTCCTGGCATTGGTGGGTGAATGAAATCCGGCCCATGAATTCAAGCCCCGCCCTTTGTTTGGGCCACCATAATGTTTAGCCCACACCCACCCCACACCCATTTTATATTCACCTTGGTGTTGGTCTTGGGCGGTTTTGATTGAAACAGCAAATGGAGGAGCAATGATTTCCTCCTGCGCAAACCGTGTCTTTTTGGTGTGAGAGGGAACACCATTCCACCACTCAGTTCACTCAGTGGTGTCCTTACCTTTAGTTTGGGTTTGACTCAACATGTTTTGCATGACCTCCAAACTAATCCATGTTTGATTTCAGACTCCCCGACACGGAGGGAAACCATGTCTTGGGTTTTTTTGATGCCGTTTCATGAACCCCTTCTCAAGTCCCATTTCCCTACCCTCTCGTTGACCTGCGATCGTCGGCGCGTCGTTGCGAGGTGATGCTGATCGCCAGTGTTTACAGTTGCTCTTCGCTCAGGAGAGCCTTGGATTGAACAGGTTTTGATCGCTTCTTGATGCTGATTGGATCGTTTTTTTTCTGTCTTCTTTATATCTATAGTGTTATTCCATTTGGGTTTTAGGGCTCCTGTCCCACCTTCTCAGTTAGGGTAGTAACAGTTGCTGAGCGACCCCCCAAGTTTGAACGCCCCACCAGAGTCCACTCGGCCGTGCCGACCGTTGGAGCGGAGGTTTGGGGTGAAAGACCGTGATCGGTTCTGCTGGTGATTGCACCGGTGCGCCGGGTTCAAGTTCTTCCATTGAGTGAACGACGCCTCCACCTGAAACTGGAACCTATGGTCGCAAAACAGAGGTGACATGGGTGAGTGGCTGATGCAGTGACATGCAGTGAGGTTTATTGGGAATCTCGAATGGAAAAGAACCTCCGGCACATGGGGACAGCCACGGGATGCCACGGGTAGTTTTCAGTTTCACTGCAGGCCCGTCAGTATACATCAGTTACAAATTATGGTGATTATGCACTTATAAAAGCTCTAAGGATCCAAGTACCCTCTGAGAAGGTGTTTGGGGTGGGTGCCAGGAGGGTCCAAGTACCTTTTGAGGAGGTACGACTGGATCCCTAGGGAAGGTATACCGCCGGACTGAAACCTAGCATCCCATCGTCACGAAAGTTCCGGGGCCCCGTTGCTCAAACTGACCATCCGTTGGATCACCCGTTCCGCACTTCCTCCGTGCGTTGTTGAAACG